ATGGTATCAGGCTAAACCGATCTTATATATACTTTTCATAAATCAATGCAAATCTTTGCAAAGTTTTCTTAAAAGTTTTCAAAACCAAGTTTTCCTGATCAGTTTTAAATTAAGCCCTATTAAGATAGATCCTACTTTTTTCTAGAAACTCTATCGCTGTCGGTGTTCCAGGCCACAAGTCCTATGTTCAGGCCGTAAGTCCGTTGGCAAGCCACAACTGTGTCGGCAAAGAAAAAGGTTAGCATCTCTCTCAGTATGTGTTTAATTTAAACTTGAATCATGGCATCTTCGTTTAGAAGACTTTTTAAGTCAAAACATGCATCTACTTCAGCATCGCATACAACAATTAATTCAAGAGAAATTATGTCCAAAATAACGTCTTTTAATCAAGAAATATCAAAAGACCAATTACCCCATATTAACCCAGACAATATATACCAAATCGGAACTTTTGACTTTAAAACAGCATATTCAATAAAAGAACACGAACAGACCTTACCACTTCAAAATAAATTTGAAGAAATTAAGCTATTATCATCACTAGCACTTGACAAGTATAAACAAAAAGGATTCAATTATATTCATTTTGGATTTATACAAATTGCTATTAAACCTTTATCCAGAACAGGACTAGACTCACCAATCCTTATGTTATTACGAGACAAAACTCTATTAAAATTTGAGGACTCCTTATTAGGAGCTGTCCAATCAAATTTATGCAATGGAGCAATATATTTTAATTGCGCCCCTAATTATCAAGTAAGTTTACATGATCCAACAATACTCAACACCCTAGTATTAAATGTTCATCTACCTGAAATAAAATTTCAAAACGAAAGACATGGCTATCTACTACTATACCGAATATATTTTAAACAATCAACATCTGAATTCAATCCCAGATGTTTACTATAAGACGGTAAAGGATAAACTACTATTCTAGCAGTACATAGTAAAGATACACCGACAGCTACTTATACATCTAAACAGCTGAACTGGAATGAAATAACCATTCCAGAACGATGGAAAATCGATATTACTCAACCACCTAGAAACTTTGAACAAAAAAATATATCAAAAATAATTGAACAACAAGACGGAAAAATATTATTACAATTCGGATCGTTTAGAGAACCAATTCCACCAAGGATTAGTTTATATTATTCCAATTCCAGAGCTTCCTTCTCTGAATTTCGTACTGGTCAACCTAGTACTGATTCCGAAACAGAAAGTGTAAATCAAAACATTAGACAAGATAATACAATTAAATTTGAAGCGCCAATAGCCGAGCCAAATCAAATTAGATATCCAACATCTCCAACCCCATCTGATTTCAAATCAATAAATGTTATTACAAAAGAATACGAAATTGATAAACAATACATTAAAGAGGATTTTTATTCGAAAAATAATGAAGAAAAAAGAAATTGGTATTTTCAAAAATACTCTAAGGAACAAACAATCGAATTTAGAGAAAAATGGTATAACTGCATGATAACAAAAGAAATTAATATTCCATTTTTCACATGGTTTGAAACATATTCAAAAAATCATAACTTAGACTATCCGTTTAAATCAATCAACACTAGTTCATCTTTAACTCAAGTATGGGAAATGGTTGATGGTAGTAAAACCAGGACAGTTCACCCACCTCTAAGAGATATAAAATTAAATACCACTAATAGAGCAATTGTAGCCACACCTTTTAAAACTGGAGCTAATAGAGAAGACAAAGACCCAGTAATTATGCAAGATATAAAAGGAATATATCAACAGAATAATTATCAAAGCCAATTACTGCATACAATTTCTAAACAAGTAGATCATATAGACAATAAAATAAATGAAAAGGATAATACAACTCATACTATACAACACCCTTTCTCATCTGTATCACCCCCAATATTTAAGCCCATTAATGGACAAATCAAGTTCGGTGAAAAGGTATTAATATGATAGATGAAAATGACAATGAATCTATTCAAACTTCTATACAATCAGAAAATGATATCCAAGAAATCAATAGAATAAAAAACAGATTAAGATCTAATAAACCATATTATCCAAGACATACTGCACCAAACTTATTATTTGAAGAACACCATAAATATTCTCATCATGCGTATACTGGAAATGGTATATACGAATGAATATTGATGGACGTTCCGAATATGAAATAATGAATTTATTACAAGAAATGGGTATGGCATCCNCNGCATTNAAAGCANCCAANNATAAANTAACCGATAGANAAGCATGCGTTATGNTANTAGCAGGATTTACAGGAGCATTAAAATATTGGTGGGATAATTCCTAGATGCATATACTCAAGCTTCTATAGTTAATCATAAAGAAATAGAAAGAACTCAAGATGATGAAGGATTTATAACAGAAACAGAAAAAGAAAATGCTGTAGAAGTATTAGTTCATACTATAATGATGCATTTTATTGGCAATCCCGCCGAAGAACTAGAAAGTAGAAAAATAGTTTTAACCAATCTAAGATGTCCAACATTAGAAGATTTTAAATGGTATAAAGATATCTTTATAACTAATATATTCTAACGAAATGACTGTAATCAAGCTTTCTGGAAAGAAAGATTTATCGCAGGATTACCAACTTTTTTTGCCGAAAAAGTAATAATCAAATTAAAAGAAATCTCTGGAGGACAACCTGTCCCCTGGGATACTATTACATACGGTCAATTATTCGCGTTTGTAAAAAAAAAGGATTATCAATATGTCAAGAACAAAAAGATAAAAAACGCAATGATAAATTTAGATTTAAAGTAACCATGGGATCATTTTGTGAACAATATGGCTATCAAGAGTTTAATCAACCATCTAGAGTTAAAAGAATAAAACATAGACATAGGAGACCCAATCAAATAGAATATTATAATAAAAACAGGAATTTTAACAAAAAACCATTTAATCAAAATCACTCAAAAAATCGACAATTTTCCAAAAATAAACGGTTTAATCCAACAAATAAGCAAAAATTAGTATGCTAGAATTGCAAAAGACCTGGATATAGGTCCACATAATGTAAAATGAAAAAGAAAATAAACGAAATATTCCAAGATCAACCGGATATTCAGGAAAAATTAACCAAACTATTAATATTCGATTCTGAGTCAACACAAGAATCCGATAGTGAATACTCCATAAATGAAATAGGAAATTCAAGCGATTCTTCTAAAGAATCACATGAATTATCTGATAATTTATGCAATTGCAAAGTAATCAATGTAATAACCAGAAATAGTGATAAACAGTTTTTACTCGATATTATAGATAAAATAGATGATCCAGAAATTAAAAAGGAATATTTAATCAAATTAAAGGATATTATAGATCAAGAAAATCATATATCTACACCACAACCATTTAGCCTCAATAAAATATTCGAAAAATATTCAACTAAAAGTTTATTTAAACAAGTCTCTACGGGAGAACTGCAAAACGAGATTAAACAAATAAAATCCCAAATAAAAGAATTACAATTAACCATTAATCAACAAGATCTTAAACAACTACAAATGGATGCAAGATTATCCCTAATCGAAGCAGCAAATAATAATTCTCAACCATCTTCAAGTAACCAGAATCTAGAAATTAAAGAAAATAACGAGNCTCCAGATAACGAAGAATATATTCAAATAATTAATAAGATCAACTATCAAAAATGGTATACAACTATTACTTTACACATAGGACACGACTTTAAATTAAACGTGATTGCATTAATGGATACCGGTGCAGATTATAACTGCATCCGTGAAGGAGTTATTCCAACTAAGTACTATGAAAAAACCACCGAAAAATTAAGCGGTGCTAATGGTAGTGATCTAAAGGTACAATACAAATTACCATGCGCAAAAATATGCAATCAAGGTTATTGTTTCAAAAACCAGTTTATTCTAGTAAAGAACCTAACTCAAGAGGTTATATTAGGAACCCCATTCTTTACTCAAATTTACCCATTTAAAGTCACAGAAATAGGAATTTCAACCAAGGTGGTAGAAACAAAATTATTATTCAATTTCTTATCCCCTATGAAAACCAAAAAAATTCTTAACCTTCAACAGAATACTATCCATAAAACGATTAATTTAATAAAAGGAAAAAAAAGTCATATTCAACAATTACAGGAAGAAATAACCTACAAAAAAATAGAAGAACAACTTAATACGCAATATATCAAAGATAAAATAAAAACAATCGAAAACAATTTATTAAGCCAAATATGTTCCGAGTTACCAAATACATTTTGGAAAAGAAAACAACACACTGTTGAACTTCCCTATATACAAGAATTCAATGAAAGAAATATACCAACAAAGGCCCGACCTATTCAAATGAATAAAGAATTACTAGAAACTTGTAAACAAGAAATAAATGATTTACTCAAAAAGAAGTTAATCAGGCCATCCAAATCCCCTTGGAGTTTTTCGGCCTTTTACGTTAATAATCAAGCTGAGAAAGAACGTGGTGTACCACGATTAGTTATTAATTATAAACCACTGAATGATGTCTTACAATGGAT